TTTGATTAGTTAAATCAACTTCAATCAGTGTAGATGAAGGAGAGGAGAAAAGTTAACGAAAGATGTTTAATCCTTGAGACAATTGAGACATGGATTGTGTATATGTGCCATTCAAAGGGTGAATGGGCAAGACAAAATATTTAAGTGCCTTTGAACGTGGTATGGTAGGTGCCAGGTGCACCAGTTTGTGTCAAGAACCGCAATGCTGCTGGGTTTTTCATGCTCAACAGTTTCGCGTGTGTATCAAGAATGGTCCACCACCCAAAGGACATCCAGCCAACTTGACACAACTGTGGGAAGCATTGGAGTTAACATGGGCCAGCATAGCTGTGGAACGCTTTCAACACCTTGTAGAGTCCATGCCCTGACAAACTACATTCCCGGAAAGGTATGAATCAAGTAAGTTTTGACTTTTTATTGACACTCTAAAATCTCTTAGAAGGTTTAGATGATAGCATGGACACAATCATTAGTTTAAAAAAAGTGGTACGACTTTTCTGGACCCCTTATCCCAGGGGCTAAAGGTCCCGACGCTTCTGAGCATGTGCGGGATTCTCTGCTTACTCACAGTCTCTGCTCTACTCGTAGAGAACAAGCTACTCTGAATGGCGATTGGTGCTTGTTCAATAAAGTTAGATCAAAGCTGAATCAATGTCTGCAACATCACATTATGATAGTATTGTACATAACAGAATAGAATATAATAGCATAGTGTAACGTTACTGTAAGACAACTACTGCATTTCTTATGAGATTTTTAGATTGTGCGAATGGTCACTTTTTTTTTTTTTTCATGCGGCCACAAATCAACAGTGCGCGCCACTAGGCAAAATGTAGGCTACAGTTTTTATTAACGCCATCTCCTCCAAATTTGCGCACCGCACATACCTGTATGAAAAATGTATGCACTCACTAACTGTAAGTCGCTCTGGATAAGAGCGTCTGCTAAATGACTAAAATGTAAATGTAAATGTAAATTGAGGCTGTTCTGAGGTGGGTGCAAGTCAATATTAGGATGGTGTTCTTAATGTTTGGTATACTCAGTATATATTCACGTCACCAAATAACTGATTAAAACACACTGTTTTGAAATGAAGGTCTACAGTAGCCTCAACAGCTCTCTCTTCGGTAGCACCATGGTGTAGCCGGAGGACAGCTATTTTCCGTCCTCCTCTGGGTACATTAACTTCAATACAAATCCTAGGAGGCTCATGGTTCTCTCCCCCTTCCATAGACTTACACAGTAATTATGACAACTTCCAGAGGACATCCTCCAACCTATCAGAGCACTTGCAGCCTGAATGAACTGACATGTTGCCCACCCAAACAAAAGATCAGAGAATGAATCTAGTACTGAAAGCATAAGCTACAGATAGCTACCACTTCAGTGCATAAAATGTGGTGAGTAGTTCACTCAGAGAGAGAGAAAGACAATAGTTGAACAGTTTTGAACAAATTAATTTCTTCATAAATTCAGGAGAAGCAGCAGAGATCACATTAACTTACTTAGCTAGCTAATGCAGCTAGCTAATTTTGCCTACTCAAACACCTGGCTCAAACAGAGAGGAATGCTATTTATGTTAGCTACTTGGCTAAGGCTATCCAACACTGAACATCTTCCAAGTCAAGGTAAGCTTTCGGTTTTATTATTTTATTGCCACTGGGGCCCGCGCCGGTGTAACTGCTAAACTGCTTGCTGTACACTGTACTCCGTGATTGTAGCGGGTTTACTAACACGTTAGTTCTAGTAGCTATGTTGACTATGATGTTAGCTAATATGGTGACATTGAAAACAATGTAGGCTGTGTGTAGCAGTTAGCAGTTAGCAGTTATGGTATGAACGTTTTGCCTGGTCACAGACAGCTATTGTGTTGTGCACTGAAGTCCACAGCAGAAGGAATTGTACAACGTGCAAAGTGATGATGCTGTTTGTATGTGGCTGCTATGAAAGTGAACTGTGTGTGCGGTGATCAGGGGTGTATTCATTCCGCTGATTCTGTTGAAAAACAATTTCTTAAACTGAAGCAAACAGAACGAAATGGGGATATACCTACCTGAATTTGTCCAATAGAAACTCTTGTTTGCAAATGTTTGGACTATTTATTACACCATAGATCAGCTAGATGCATGCAAGAGTGTGCAAGGCGGTATTGAATGCGTCACTGTCTGTCACCTTGATTACTCCAATTTGTCTCTGGAACCTGTGCACCTACATTATAAACTTTCATTAGTAGGCTAGGTTGTAGCAACCTCATGAGGGGTAGGCTATAGGGAAGATTCATGTTGTAGCCTAAACCTATCGATGTTACATTGAGCTGGGTGAATGGAATATGAATGACCTTCATCCAATATTCTGTAATAGAAATAAGGCCATGCTCATAAAAACAATCGTCCTACCTAATCTTAAATGGCACCGACCGCAACTGGTGCACACACACACACACACACACACAAACGTACACAAAAGGCAATGTAAAACTGACTATCCTACCGATCCTTGACTTCGGCGATGTCATTTACAAAATAGCCTCCAACACTCTACTCAGCAAATTGGATGTAGTCTATCACAGTGCCATCCGTTTTGTCTCCAAAGCCCCATATACTACCCACCACTGTGACCTGTACGCTCTTGTTGGCTGGTCCTCACTACATATTCGTCGCCAAACCCACTGGCTCCAGGCCATCTATAAATCACTGCTAGGCAAATCCCCGCCGTATCTTAGCTCATTGGTCACCATAGCAACACCCACCTGTAGTATGCGCTCCAGCAGGTATATCTCACTGGTCATCCCCAAAGCCAACACCTCCTTTGGCCGCCATTCCTTTCAGTTCTCTGATGCCAATGACTGGAACAAATTGCAAAAATCTCTGAAGCTGGAGACACTTATCTCCCTCACTAACTTTAAGCATCAGTTGTCAGAGCACCTTACCGATCACTGCACCTGTACACAGCCCATCTGAAATTAGCCCGCCCAACTACCTCATCCCTATATTGTTATTTATTTTGCTCATTTGTACCCCAGTATCTCTATTTGCACATCATCTCTTGCACATCTATCATTCCAGTGTTAATACTAATTGTAATTATTTTGCACTATAGCCTATTTATTGCCTTACCTCCATAACTTGCTACATTTGCACACACTGTATATATATATATATATATTTATTTTTTTCTGTTGTATTTTTGATTTTGTTTTGTTTTACCCATATGTAACTCTGTGTTGGCTTACCTGGTTAAATAAAGGTGAAATAAAAAATTATTTAAAAAAAAAAGGTAGTTATTGGAGAGAGAAAAATACGATTCTGCTGCGCCCTAGTGGTGAAATGTAAACCTATTACTGTAACTATCCTGGAGCATCCAAAAGGTCATTTAGAGCAGAGTAAAATTGGCTTCTTATTATCAGCAGATGATTTCTGGTTTATCTGCACCATATAGCTCCTGCATTCAAACATTTTATAGAGCTGAACTTCGCAGGAACTTTTCTCTACATAGAAGATGTAGTCGACGCAGATGTAGCTCAAGAGCCTAAATCAATTTTGTCTAAGAAAATGAAAAGCTGACAACGACCATTACACGTCATTTAAGTGAGTCATAAATGCAGAAGAGCGAAAATTGGGTAAGACACTGCAGGAGGACAGAACTTACTGTATAGGAGAGCACACTGTGGGGGAGAGAGAAACGTGTGTTCAGTTGCCTGTGTAGCAGAGTCTGTGCGTGCATGTAGTGTTCGTGTGTGAGTCCGCACGAGAGAGCGAGAGACAGAGAGAACCGTTTTTGGTGTGGCTTGAGGTAGAGCGCGCGTGAGTAATAAGAAAGTCAGGGCGGGAAAACACTCGGGATTCCGTAAAAGTCGATTTCAGACTGGTGTATTTCAAGTTGCAGATGCCGACAGATGCTCTCAAAGACAGTATCAATATCGAGGAAACACTGGTGAAGGTAGGCAAGGATGTTTAAAGAGAATGTGCTGGGCAGCCACCATGTACCTTTTTAACAGTTTATATCGATGCAAATATGTAATTACCTAACGTTTGCCTCACAACACATCTGTCAAGAATGTATATCGTCTGCATGCGGAGTGACAAGACGCGGGAAGTGCTGATGACATAAATGAAGGGTTCTAATTGATTTTTTTTTCTTTGAGCTTCAAATGTCACTGACATCAAATGTTTCATGGGCAGGAGACCATTCAGTTATTAAGGGTTCTCTGCATTTCTTTGTGTGTGTGTGTGTGTGTGAGAGAGCTTGTGTGTGTGTGTGTGTGTGTGTGTGTGAGCCTGTGTGTGAGCTTGTGTGCTTGTGTGAGAGAGAAAAAGACAGACATAAATAGAGAGATGAAGCTAGAAATGGAGATGGATAGATATAGAGGGGGAGAGAGAGAGGCAGAAACAATAGAGATGTTAATAATGAGGGTGATAGAGACAGAGTGAGATAATGTAATATATGTGACTAGGGCTTTCTATTTCAGATCACACTAAAAGTTATGACATGTCAGGCACAGAGTGACTAGCCCACAGTCTATTACAGTCAAATTGGTGTCAAGTCTTCCTGGAGACAGATGAGGCTGAGGTAGTATATAAGGTAGCGCAGCATTGCACATGGATGCCACATCACCATCCCTGCTATCTAGGCAATTGTCGACTTATGTGTGTATGGTAAGCTGCTACTGAGTGTGGAATACTGATGGAAATGTGAACTCAAAGTCAGAGCCTGGTTGGTCCATGTTATATGGGAATTTATAAACTGGGTGGTTTGAGCCCTGAATGCTGATTGGCTGAAAGCCATGTTATATCAGACCGTATACAACGGGTATGACAAACAATTACTTTTTGCTGTTCTAGGTATGTTGGTAACCAGTTTATAATAGCATTAAGACACTCCACGTTGCGTTGTGCATAAGAACAGCCCTTAGCCGTGGTACAGTATATTGGTCATATACCACACCTTCTCGGGCCTTATTGCTTAAATATTGTGTATATTTATTTATTTGTCTCTCTTTTAGTGTGACAGTATGACACTGTCCAGTGCCCCGCCTTTACGCAGAGGAAGTACCCCTCTGCCAATCAAACACCAGCTCAGACGGGAGGAAGCAGTCCATGATGATTGTGATTGGACATCAGGGTTGGCTGGACCTTCTCCTCCTCCAATCAGTTTCAGCCCGGCGAAGGATGAGACCATCACCTCAGCGGTAGAGGGGGGACCCTCCTCTGAAGGGCCCTTTCGAATTGCCCTGCTGGGGCAGAATGGGGTGGGCAAGTCATGCCTTGCTATAGCCTTGGCTGGGGATTTGGATAGAACTGCATCTGTGGATTCTGAAGGTACATTGGTGTTTGGATGTTGACAAAAATATATGAACTAAATATCTGCTCGTGACCCGTCTAGTTTTCCCTCAGACTGAGCACTGTTTCTACAAAAATTGGTCTATGATACTAACAGGTCAAATATGTGCCGTGCAAAACACCCCAGCATTGTGTATGTCATTTAAAAAAAAAAGCTGAAAACCTTCTTTCCCCCATCTCCCACCTGAGACTTGCCTGATATGTCTCTCTCTCCCTCAGGGGAGGGCTATGTGCACACTGTTACCGTGGATGACGAGGACTGCACCATCCTTATCTACGACAACTGGAGGCAGGTGAGCCAAACAGCACATCTGTGGTCCCACTCTACCCCAGCCTTCTCTCTCCCACTCCTTTATCCTCTGTCTTCCCTCATGGACTAACTCTTAATGTGGCGGTTTCAGTGTGGAAATATGACATTCCCCTGTGGGACTCTGTGATTGACTGGCTTGGAAGCTTATTATCATGTTATTTTCCACAGGTTTACCTCTGTTGCCCTGGGTACTCTTCAAACGTGTTCATAGATGTGTGAGGGCGGGAGCTGCTCACTGAGCAAATGTACAGTGCTGGGGACATATTCTCCTTCATATTCTCCTTCTGCTGTTTCAGCTTTCTTTTATTGTGATTCTGTTGATCTAATTGCATCACTGACGTCGTTCTCTAGTTGTCTTGTAGGAGAGACCAAGATATGTTGGTGATGCTGCTCTGTCTATTCTGTTCAGTAGAATTTGAGTTAGCCTTTTGATGCAGTCCAGTCTTAAGAGTGGAATCTTAAATTCAGATTTTAGAATTCTAATTTAGCATTGCTCACTCAGTGTCCCTGAAGCATTGTCAGTGACTTATGAAGGATTCACTTAAAGGGCATCCAGTGTGTGTGTGTGTGTGTGTGTGTGTGTGTGATTGTATTCTCTGCGTGTGTCATCAGTAACTGACGTGGTTCCCAGTTGGTGTGGTATGGTAATTTGTCTCTAGGCAGCGGGGAATCATAGAATGAAAGAGCACAGGGCTCCACTCTCACTCTTGATTGCTGCAGGCAACTTTCACTGCATACCACCAGAACAATATGCAATCATGTGTTTGAAATGTTGAAAAAATACAATCACACAGTCTTGGATATGAGTCATTGGTCTGTCTGTCATAGAGCACTCATCATGCCAGAGTTATAAGGGACAGTTCAAATGTATTGGGGGGGTGGGCTGGTCCAACTCAAGGTGTCATAAAAAAAGATGTTCAACATTTTGATGCCATATTTATAATTATATAAATATAAGCAACACATTTTCCACCAACAGGTTTCTGTGCCAATGCACTACACAACCAATAAACAAAGCATACCGACTTCGGGCACTTCAATATCATGGTTTGCATTTTCAACACCACAGTAAATAGACTACGTCAATCTGGACAAACAGAAAATACATCCCTCCCTACCCAGTATTGAAGGCTTGGCTTGACAATCTCCGAACGTCATTCAACTTTTTGGTGTTTCGTAATAGACGTCTCTTTCCAGTCATCAAATGGTCGCTGCACAGTTTGGATTGATAGATTTTATTTGTCAGTAAAAAAGATACATAGATACACACAGCACAAAGATTTTTAAAAGTGACCGGGATTGCACAATAAAGTCAGGGACTTATTTCCAGTATGGTCCATATCTTTTACATAAATACATATTAAATTACATATAAAGTATACAAACACATTACAGAGATACAGAAAAAAAAGGTTATACTGTTCACACATTAGCCAGCTTTTGACATTCTTTTAAAAAGTCGTTATGGTTGATATGGCTTTGAGTTGCTGTGGTAGTTTGTTCCACTCAACAGCGCAGGTATATAAAAATGGGTTCTTACCAGATAGACTCATATATTTAAAACAGTGAATATTAGTGTCTCTGGCTCTGGTATTATGCTGGTGGACATCTCTAACAAATGAAAAATTGTTGGATAGGTACCTGGGGACTTAGGCCGTGGACCAGACCAAGCCTAGCTGCATAAAATGCTCAACCTCCAGATGAGTATGAGGGGGGAGTTTAAGTAAAGTTCTTACAAGCTTGTTTTGGCTGGTCTGTAGCTTATTATTTAGATGTTTTGGGCTGCTGGTGAACCATGATGTGCAGGCATAATCAAAGTGACATTGGACTAGCGCACTTTCCAGAGTCTTTAGGGTGTCTATATGTGGAGGCTCCTCAGAGGAGGAAGGGGAGGACCATCCTCAGTGAATTTCTTAAAAATAAAAATGTTGAAACATTAAAAAAGTTATCCTTTTTAGATAAAACAATACTAAATATATTCACCTTACCAAATAATTGATTAAAACACACTGTTTTGCAATGAAGGTCTACAGTAGCCTCAGCAGCACTCTGTAGGGTAGGACTATGGTATAGGCAGAGGACAGCTAGCTTATGTCCTCCTCTGGGTACATTGACTTCAATACAAAACCTAGGAGGCTCATGGTTCTCACCCCCTTCCACAGATTTACACAGTAATTATGACAACTTCTGGAGGACGCATGAACTGACATGTTGTCCACCCAATCAAAGAATCAGAGAATGAATCTAATACTGAAAGCATAAGCTACAGCTAGCTAGCACAATAGTGCATAAAATGTGGTAGTTGAATCAAAGAGAGAGAAAGACAATAGTTGAACAGTTTTGAACAAATTAATTTCTTCCAAAATTAAGGAGAAGCAAGAGAGAGAGGGAGAGAGAGAGAAAGATAGCTATATTTCGTTGTATATTTATTTCCACTTTCACTTTCACTTACTTAGCTAGTGTCAAATGCAGCTAGCTAGTTTTGCATACTCAAACACCCGGCTCAAACAGAGAGGGATGCTATGTCAGATAGCTTGTTATGGCTATCCAACACTGGAACTCTTCCATAAACTTTTGGCTTTATTAATTTATTGCCACCGGGGCCCGCCGATGTAACTGCTAAACGGATTTCTGATGACTAAACTGTACTGCATTATTGTAGCGGGTTTACTAACGCCTTAGTTCTAGTAGCTATGCCTATGTTGACTATGACGTGACAATGATGTAGGCTGTGTGTAGCAGTTAGCAGTCATGATATGAAGGTTTGGCTTGGAAAGTTTTTTTTGCCTGGTCACAGACAGCTGATGTGTTCTGCACTGAAGTCCACAAGCAAAGGAAAAAGGTGAGAGGAGGAGAGGGCATAGATAGATGCGAGATGGAATTATACACTGCTCAAAAAAATAAAGGGAACACTTAAACAACACAATGTAACTCCAAGTCAATCACACTTCTGTGAAATCAAACTGTCCACTTAGGAAGCAACACTGATTGACAATAAATGTCACATGCTGTTGTGCAAATGGAATAGACAACAGGTGGAAATTATAGGCAATTAGCAAGACACCCCCAATAAAGAAGTGGTTCTTCAGGTGGTGACCACAGACCACTTCTCAGTTCGTATGCTTCCTGGCTGATGTTTTGGTCACTTTTGAATGCTGGCGGTGCTTTCACTCTAGTGGTAGCATGAGACGGAGTCTACAACCCACACAAGTGGCTCAGGTAGTGCAGCTCATCCAGGATGGCACATCAATGCGAGCTGTGGCAAGAAGGTTTGCTGTGTCTGTCAGCATAGTGTCCAGAGCATGGAGGCGCTACCAGGAGACAGGCCAGTACATCAGGAGACGTGGAGAAGGCCGTAGGAGGGCAACAACCCAGCAGCAGGACCGCTACCTCCGCCTTTGTGCAAGGAGGAGCAGGAGGAGCACTGCCAGAGCCCTGCAAAATGACCTCCAGCAGGCCACAAATGTGCATGTGTCTGCTCAAACGGTCAGAAACAGACTCCATGAGGGTGGTATGAGGGCCCGACGTCCACAGGTGGGGGTTGTGCTTACAGCCCAACACCGTGCAGGACATTTGGCATTTGCCAGAGAACACCAAGATTGGCAAATTCGCCACTGGCGCCCTGTGCTCTTCACAGATGAAAGCAGGTTCACACTGAGCACGTGACAGACGTGACAGAGTCTGGAGACGCCGTGGAGAACGTTCTGCTGCCTGCAACATCCTCCAGCATGACCGGTTTGGCGGTGGGTCAGTCATGGTGTGGGGTGGCATTTCTTTGGGGGGCCGCACAGCCCTCCATGTGCTCGCCAGAGGTAGCCTGACTGCCATTAGGTACCGAGATGAGATCCTCAGACCCCTTGTGAGACCATATGCTGGTGCGGTTGGCCCTGGGTTCCTCCTAATGCAAGACAATGCTAGACCTCATGTGGCTGGAGTGTGTCAGCAGTTCCTGCAAGAGGAAGGCATTGATGCTATGGACTGGCCCGCCCGTTCCCCAGACCTGAATCCAATTGAGCACATCTGGGACATCATGTCTCGCTCCATCCACCAACGCCACGTTGCACCACAGACTGTCCAGGAGTTGGCGGATGCTTTAGTCCAGGTCTGGGAGGAGATCCCTCAGGAGACCATCCGCCACCTCATCAGGAGCATGCCCAGGCGTTGTAGGGAGGTCATACAGTCACGGGGAGGCCACACACACTACTGAGCCTCATTTTGACTTGTTTTAAGGACATTACATCAAAGTTGGATCAGCCTGTAGTGTGGTTTTCCACTTTAATTTTGAGGGTGACTCCAAATCCAGACCTCCATGGGTTGATACATTTGATTTCCATTGATAATTTTTGTGTGATTGTGTTGTCAGCACATTCAACTATGTAAAGAAAAAAAGTATTTAATAAGATTATTTCATTCATTCAGATCTAGGATGTGTTGTTTAAGTGTTCCCTTTATTTTTTTGAGCAGTGTATATACAATGAGCTGTTTGTATGTGCCTGGTATGAAAGTGAACTGTGTTTGAGTGTGATCAGGGGTGTATTCATTGCGCCAATTCTGTTGAAAAACGTTTCTTAAAACGGGGATAAACAACTGAATTTGTTCAATAGAAACTCTCGTTTGCAACTGTTGGACTAATGATTACACCCTAGATCTACTAGATGCAGGCAAGAGTTTGCAAGGCGGTATTGAATGTGTCACTGTCTGTCACCTTGATTACTCAAATTTATCTCGACCTGTACACCTACGTTGTAAACTTTCATTCATAGGCTAGGTTGTAGCAACCTCATGATGGGTACAGAGAAAATTTGAGTATCATGTAGTAGCCTAAACCTATCGATGTTACATTGAGCTGGGTGAATGGAATATGAATGACAGTCGTCTAATATGCTGTAATATAAATAAGGCCATGTACATAAAAAATTTTTACCATCCTCCCTCATCTTAAACGCACTGACCACCACTGGTGTCTATAGCTAGGTTTCCATCCAATTAGTGACAGATTTTCATGTGAATATTCTAAAATCTGCATAAAAATTATATTGGCATTTTCTCATCAGAGTTGTGTTTCCATGAAATGGACTTGTTGTGGATAGAAATCTGTGCGTAAATGTGTAGTGCACATACAAATAACTTTTGCTGTTAAATTCAATGGGTTTCCATCGCGTTTTCAACTCTAGTGCCTACTGATGGTTTTGTCACAAAAAACGTTGTGTAGGTAAAGTGAATGTGCCCACTCTGGGATTGGCACGTGCACTCTAGCCAACAGCTCGCAGATACAGTGCGGGTATAGCCTACATGAGATTAGTATGGACAAAAGTGTGAGTTATTTTTATTTGTCAAATGGCAGCCAAGCATTGATCATCATGTCAGCAGAATAAGACTCTCAATATTTATTGACAGGAGCATCAAGCTCATCGCTGTGCACTTTCACCACCCTGTGAAGTTCATCATAACTTATTTCATCTGTAGCCTAATAAACGGCATGCTTTCCCATGATGTCATTAAATTTTTTATCCAAAGTACTCGCATAAAAAGGTTGGATGGAAACCTGGTTAATGTCAAGCCATTTTGAGGATGCTGGGATTATATTTTGGACGAACGTGCGCATGCCTACAGGAGACTTGAAGTAGCTTAATCAGATTAAAACATTGTGACTGGTTGTGTTTATGCCACATATAAAAGGTAATACATTAAAAAAGTTGAATGACAAATATTTAGGCTATATTGAAGCGTTAGGTTCTAGGTGCACGAGGACAAGGCGCTCGAATTGGAGAGGAGGCAGAGCCTGCGTTAAGCTTTCCTGAATATCTGGGCCAGCCGGGAGCATATGTAGCCACTTTATTATAGGACGACTTGGGAGAATGATGATCTGCAACAGACAGCGCATTCAGTATCAGAAGTAAAAATACAGCCAGACTGGCCTGCTACTGTGCCTTTCTAGACCTTATAAACTGTCTAGAGTCAACTGATCCAAATGGAATGAAACATTCCAATTACAGGGCTTTTGCACCATTATTCAAATGACATTTTCACTGCAGCCTAGACTAGAATTTTGTACTCAATTAAAGACAATAATGCAATTATTCATTGCATTGTGGTGTTGTAGGCTAGTCTAGGTAGAATAATTGTATTATCGCTAAACAAGATCAATAGGGGCGCTTTTTGAGCTGCGTGTCTCAAGTCTTCAAGTTTAAAGTGAAATGCCTTTCTTGCAAACTCAAAACCCGACAATGCAATAATCAATAGCGATGTATTACTAGAAAAAAAACACTCAAGAAATAAGAATAGGAAATATGAATTGCACAATAAAGTAAGTAAGTAAGCATACTATACAGGAAATATTTTAAAAGTCAGATCCAATACCATATTTACATGTGCAGGGATACTGGAGTGATGGAGGTAGATATGTATAGGGGTAAGGGGACTAGGCAACAGGATATAAGATAAACAGAGTAGCAGCAGCTTGCATGTGAGTGGGTGTGTGGGTGTGTAGTCAGGATACATGTATGTGCATATTATGTGTGAGTGAGCAAATGATGGACTGAGTGTTTGTGTGTGTGTTGGAGTGACAGTGTGTGTGAGTGTGCATAGAGACAAATATTGAAATAAAAGGTCAATAAAGATACAAGATAAAATCAGTCCGCGTAGCTATTTTGTTAGCTATTTATCAGTCGTATTGCTTAGGGATAGAAGTTGTTCAAGAGCCTGTTTGTGTCAGACTTGATGCACCGGTACCTCTTGCTGTGCGGCAGTAGAGAAAATAGTAAATGGCTTGTGTGGTTGGGGTTTTTGACGATTTTCCGGGTCTCCTTTTCACACCGCCTGATATAGAGGTCCTGGATGGCAGGGAGCTCGGCCCCAGTGATGTACAGGGCTGTCCGCACAACCCTCTGTAATGCCATGCCATCGAGGGTGGTGCTATTGCCATACCAAGCAGTGATGCAGCCAGTCAATATGCTCTCAATTGTACAGCTGTACAACCTTTTCAGGATTTGAGGGCCCATGCTAAACTTTTTCAACCTCCTGAGGGGGAAGAGGCACTGTCGCGCCTTCTTCGTGACTGTGCGTGTGTGTTTGGACCATTTTAAGGCTTTAGTGATTTGGACAACGAGGAACTTGAAGCTGTCAACTTGCTCCACTGCCGCCCCGTCGATGTGGATGGGGGCGTGCTCGCCTCCCCCTTTCCTGTAGTCCATGATCAGCTCCTTGGTCTTGCTGACGTTGAGGGAGAGGTTGTTGCTCCGGCACCACACTGCCAGGTCACTGACCTCCTCCCTGTAGGCTGACTCATCGTCACCGGTGATCAGGCATAGCACCATCGTGTCGTCAGCGAACTTGATAATGGTGTTGGAATCGTGCGTGGCCACACAGTTGAGGATGAACAGGGAGTATGGGAGGGGAGTAAGCACACACCCCTGTGGGGCCCCTGAGCACTTCAATGTTATTTCATGCGTAATGATGCGCCTGGCCTCTCCGCTGCCTATCAGCTACTCCTATTTGTTCTTGTGGATTCATATTTAAAAAATTAATGCAGCTTTGAATGCTTTTATGTGTGGTATGGTTGCTAGTTAGCCTATTGCAGATCTGGACAAACGATCCACCTACCACTATTGTCACTATGAATGTTGGATAGAGGGCAGGATAGAAAGTTAGACTGGTAGAATATATTGACCTATGGTGTAGTAAAAGCCCCAGACCATTATTCCTCATCCACCAAACTTTACAGTTGGCACTATGCATTCGGGCAGGTAGCGTTTTCCTGACATCCGCCAAACCCAGATTCGTCCGTCAGACTGCCAGATGGTGAAGCGTGATTCATCACTCCAGAGAACGCGTTTCCACTGCTCCAGATCCCAATGGCAGTGTGCTTTACACCACTCCAGCTGACTCTTGGCATTGCACATGGTGATCTTAGGCTTGTGTGCGGCTGCTCGGCCATGGAAAACCAATTCATGAAGTTCCCGACGAACAGTTATTGTGCTGACGTTGCTTCCAGAAGCATTTTGGAACTCAGCAGTGAGTGTTGCAACCAAGGACAGACAATTTTTACGCGCTAGGCACTTCAGCACTCAGCGGTCCCGTTCTGTGAGCTTGTGTGGCCTACCACTTCGTGGCTGAGCTGTTGTTGCTGCTAGATGTTTCCACTTCACAATAAGAGCACTTACAGTTGACTGGGGCAGCTCTAGCAGGGCAGAAATTTGACGAACTGACTTGTTGGAAAGGTGTCACCCTATGACGGTGCCACGTTGAAAGTCACTGAGCTCTTCAGGAAGGTCATTCTACTGCCAATGTTTGTCTAGGGAGATGGCATGGCTGTGTGCTCAATTTTATACACCTGTCAGCAATGGGTGTGGCTGAAACAGGCGAATCCACAAATTTGAAGGGGTGTCCACATACTTTTGTGTATATAGTGTAGATTTGGTTGTTCTATACACAGTCAAGTATGACCTCTCTTATACATAGGAGTGTATTCTCATTGAAATTCATATGACTAAATGGAAGGTAAAGTGGTATGGTTGTGGTGATCTCTCTCCCTCCCTCTATCAGGACCTGTCTGCTCTCCAGTGTGAGGTGTGTGTCCTGGTGTTCTCTGTGACGGACAGGCGCAGTTTCCACCGCACCGCCCAACTCCGCCTCCTCCTCAGGGAGACGCAGCCGCAAACTCCCATCATCCTCGTGGGCAACAAGAGCGACCTAGTCCGTTCACGTGAGGTCAGCACTCAAGGTGAGGCAGCTTGGCCCTCTCTTTGTTACAGGACAGCGATGGAATGATGTACCCCATTGTCTCTGCAACCTTACGATGCTTTGTATAACCTGCAGTGTCCTAGCGCATATCTTTCCCTATAGATTATCTCTCCCTATAGATGCTCTCTCCTCTCATTGCCTTGTTCCTGCCTGCCATCTCCACCCTGTGTGTTGACAGGTTGAGTTCTGTACTGTATATCTGCAGGGTATTGCTGTGGGGGGAGAATTACAGGAATACAGACGGAAAGTGGCACAGTGCTTCAGCTGCAGTGCAGTGTGGGAGTATGGGGGGAGGGAATGTGCATGCTGAGAACTGTGCATGAGATACTGAGAACACACACCCTATTCATCTAGATGTACATATCAACTGAGGATATGGCTGTGTGGTGTGTTCAGAAGACCAGCCTGAGCTCGGCTGTTTGGTCCCCCCAACCTATAACACACATGTAAACAAAACTCTTGCTCTTTCAAACCTTCTCCATTTCACCCCCACCCGTCTCTGTGTGATGTGTTTCTCCAGACTGCAGCTCTTCAGACCTAGCTGTCTCAGAGCCAAGAGCCTTTGTCTTAGTAGGCTTGAGGCAAAGAGCAAGGCATTCTGCTTAATTACTTTTCACAGAAGAAAATAAAATAATTTACCATACCTCTCTTCCTCTGCTGTCAGGGATAATTTCATCTCTAATAAAAAACACAGTTTTAATTAGGACCAATTAGGGCAATTGCTTCTCACCATTTTTCATTGTCTGGCATCTCATTCCCTGTGATCGCTGTCTTGCACTCTATCTTTTATATGCGCTTTTTCCATCTTTTTAATAAATGCTTTCAATGTGTGTGTGTTTGTCCTGGGAACACTAGTCTGTAATGACACAATAAATCCACAGAGGCAGGGATATTGATATTGTAGTGTATCTGAGGTCAACCAGAGAGGAGCTGGGCTGAGTCACAGGACAATGAGAGAATAAGTGGTGCTTCATCATGTAACTAATATGGATGAACCTGTGACACCAGCACATCACTGTGTACCCACCCGAAATGCTCTCATCCAAAATGTGTTTACCACTGACAACTGTGCTTATGGGTGTTTTTCTTTTTCCCTCATCATCGTCATCATCATCTCCCTTTTTCTCCCTGTCTCTCTCAGAGGCCCTCACCAGCGCTTCTCTGTTTGACTGTCTGTATGTGGAGATGTCAGCCTCTCTGGATCACCGCACGGCGGAGCTCTTGGAGTATGCTGTGAGGTTAGCCAGGGGCCTCAACCCGGTGCCCCCAGGGGCCTGTGGGCACGACATGGCTGGCGGCCGGGAGAGCATCACCCACCGTGCTAAACGTTTCCTCACTAGCCTGGTCCCACGCTACCCCCGTGAGAGGGAACGAGACGGGGGCAAGTTCTTTAGACAGAAGTCCCGGTCCTGCCATGACCTGGGTGCCCTGTGATCAGGGATGATGGCGGGATAGAAGAGGGGTGTCTAGAAAGAGAGCAAGAGGGAAATACGATGTAAGCAATCGCAAAATAGAGAGGGATCTGAAGAGGTAAATTATGGTTATGAGAAAAGTGAGTGTAAATGTGTGAGTGTAAAAGTGAGTGATGGGAGGAGGATACAGTAGTGGGGGATGACACATGCATAAAGCAGAGAAGAGCAGGAAGAGAGAATGGCATTAAAGAAGTGATGGATGTATCTGGGTTTATTCATGTAGAAATGTTGTACTAGAGAACCATAGATGATAGATAGAAAACCATTCATTAGCTGAACACATGTAAATACAACACAAAGCATCATATTGTAGTGGTGGGACTGATTCTCCACCTCCATTCCGATGTGATTTCATTGAGGACCAAATAAAATACTTTTAGAAGTCATGAGAAAGGAAGGTGACTCTTTTTATCTGTGTATTTGTCTCTGTGTGTTCTGTTACAGTTGAGAGACTTTATAGTGCAGAAACTTCCCTGAATGCTCTTCGCATTGTAGAAATACAGATACAGTGGCTTGCAAAAGTATTCACCCCCCTTGGCATTTTTCCTATTTTGTTGCCTTACAACCTGGAATTAAAATTGATTTTTTGGGGGGTTTGTATCATTTGATTTACACAACATGCCTACCACTTTGGGGGGGTGAAACAAACAAGAAATAAGACAACAAAAAAAACAGCGTGCATAACTATTCACCCCCCCAAAGTCAATACTTTGTAGAGCCACCTTTTGTAGCAATTACAGCTCCAAGTCTCTTGGGGTATGTCTATAAGCTTGGCACATCTAGCCACTGGGATTTTTGCCCATTCTTCAAGGCAAAACTGCTCCAGCGCCTTCAAGTTGGATGGGTTCCGCTGGTGTACAGCAATCTTTAAGTCATACCACAGATTCTCAGTTGGATTGAGGTCTGGGCTTTGACTAGGCCATTCCAATACATTTAAATGTTTCCCCTTAAACCACTCGAGTGTTGCTTTACCAGTGTGCTTAGGGTCATTGTCCTGCTGGAAGGTGAACCTCCGTCCCAGTCTCAAATCTCTGGAAGACTGAAACAGGTTTCCCTCAAGACTTTCCCTGTATTTAGCGCCATCCATCATTCCTTCAATTCTGACCAGTTTCCCAGTCCCTGCCGATGAAAAACATCCTCACAGCATGATGCTGCCACCACCATGCTTCACTGTGGGGATGGTGTTCTCGGGGTGATGAGAGGTGTTGGGTTTGCGCCAGACATAGCGTTTTCCTTGATGGCCAAAAAGCTCAATTTTAGTCTCATCTGACCAGATGTGTTTGCTTATTTTTTTCTTTAAGCAATGGCTTTTTTTCTGGCCACTCTTCCATAAAGCCCAGCTCTGTGGAGTGTACGGCTTAAAGTGGTCCTATGGGCACATACTCCAATCTCCGCTGTGGAGCTTTGCAGCTCCTTCAGGGTTATCTGTGGTGTCTTTGTTGCCTCTTTGATAAAATGCCCTCCTTGCCTAGTCCGTGAGTTTTGGTGGGCGGCCCTCTCTTGGCAGGTTTGTTGTGGTGCCATATTCTTTCAATTTTTTAAATAATGGATTTAATGGTGCTCCGTGGGATGTTCAAAGTTTCAGATATTCTTTTATAACCCAACCCTGATCTGTACTTCTCCACAACTTTGTCCCTGACCTGTTTGGAGAGCTCCTTGCTCTTCGTGGTGCCGCTTGCTTGGTGGTGCCCCTTAGTGGTGTTGCAGACTCTGGGGCCTTTCAGAACAGGTGTATATATACTGACATCATGTGACAGATCATGTGACACTTAGATTGCACACAGGTGGACTTTATTTAACTAATTATGTGACTTCTGAAGGTAATTGGTTGCACCAGATCTTATTTAGGGCTTCATATCAAAGGGGGTGAATACATATGCACGCACCACTAGTAGAATGTTTTGAAACAAGTTATTTTTTTCATTTCACTTCACCAATTTGGACTATTTTGTGTATGTCCATTACATGAAATCCAAATAAAAATCATTTTAAATTACAGGTTGTAATGCAACAAAATAGGAAAAACCTTTGCAAGGCACTGTAAATGCCAGAAAAAAAGGAAAGACTTGAGTAAATGAGGGATACAAAGTATATTGAAAGCATTTGCTTCCACACGTGTGGTTCCTGAGTTAATTAAGCGATTAACATCCCATCAAGCTTAGGGTTATGTATAGAAATATCCAGTTGCCCATTATTTTTGGCTACCATGGCTAGAAGAAGAGATTTCAGTGACTTTGAAGGAGGGGTCTCAAATGAGCATGGGGCTTTAAATGGTGTGTGTGTCTCAGTCACCAGCTCTCAACCCAATTGGACACTTATAGGAGATTCTGGAGCGGCGCCTGAGACAGCGTTTTCCACCACCATTAACAAAACACCAAATTATGGAATTTCTCGTGGTAGAATGGTGTCGCATCCCTCCAGTAGAGTTCCAGACACTTGTAGAATCTATGCCAAGATGCATTGCAGCTGCATTGAAGCTGTTCTAGTGCCCTATTAATGCCCTATTAAGACACTTTATGTTGGTGTTTCCTTTATTTTGGCAGTTACCTGTAGGTTTCCAGGACAAGTGCAATAGAGCAGTCAAAGTACCAGCCCTGGTATTACATCGTTTTCATAGTAGTTCAGGTTTTCATGATTTTCATGAGCTCTTCACTTGCTTTTTTGAGTATACAGACGATCTTGTATCCATGGGGATACAGAGAGGGGGTAGAGAAAGGGCCAGAGAGAGAGACAGAGAGAGACTGAACTTAGAGAGGGCATAAGAGAGAAGGGGGGAAGGGATGGAGCCAGGATTTATTGTATTTAGAGTGATCGTTGCCAGGTTACTGTTGTCAAGGAGACCTAGAATCTTTGTGCCATATGCATTTGTGTTCAACATTTTCCCATACAAAATTCAAATCAAATCAAATCAAATTGTATTTGTCACATACACGTGTTTAGCAGATGTTATTGCGGGTGTAGCGAAATGCTTCTAGCTCTGACAGTGCAGTAATATCTAACAAGTAATATTTAACAATTTCACAACATATACCCGATACACACAAATCTAAGTAAGGAATGGAATTAAGAATATATACATATACGGACGAGCAATGACAGAGCGGCATGGACTAAGATACAGTAGAATATTATAAAATACAGTATATACACTACCAGTCAAAAGGTTGGACACACCTACTCATTCAAGGGTTTTTCTTTATTTTTACTATTTTTTACATTGTAGAATAATAGTGAAGACATCAAAACTATTAAATAACACATATGGAATCATGCAGTAACCAAAAAAGTGTTAAACAAATCATAATACATTTTATATTTGAGATTCTTTAAATAGCCACCCTTTGCCTTGATGACAGCTTTGCACACTCTTGGCCTTCTCTCAACCAGCTTCATGAGGTAGTCACCTGGAATGCATTTCAATTAACAGGTGTGCCTTGTTAAAAGTAAATTTGTGGAATTTCTTTCCTTCTTATTGCGTTTGAGCCAATCAGTTGTGTTGTGACAAGGTAGGGGGGTATACAGAAGATAGCCCTATTTGGTAAAAGACCAAGTCCATATTATGGTAAGAACAGCTCAAATAAGCAAAGAGTAACGACAGTCCATCATTACTTTAAGACATGAAGGTCAGTCAATACAGGAAATTACAAGAACTTTGAACGTTTCTTCAAGTGCAGTCGCAAAAACCATCAAACGCTATGATGAAACTCTGCTCTCATTAGGACCGCCACAGGAATGGAAGACCCAGAGTTACCTTTGCTACAGAGGATAAGTTCATTAGAGTTACCAGCCTCAGAAATTGCAGCCCAAATAAATGCTTCACAGAGTTCAAGTAACAGACACATCTCAACATCAACTGTTCAGAGGGGACCGTGTGAATCAGGCCTTCATGGTCGAATTGCTGCAAAGAAACCTCTACTAAAGGACACCAATACTAAGAAGATACCTGCTTGGGCCAAGAAACACGAGCAATGGACATTAGACCGGTGGAAATGTGTCCTTTGGTCTGGAGTCCAAATTTGAGATTTCTGGTTCCAACCGCCGTGTCTTTGTGAGACACTGTGTGGGTGAACGGATGATCTCCACATGTGTAGCTCCCACCGTAAAGCAGGGAGGAGGAGGTGTTATGGTGTGGGGGTGCTTTGCTGGTGACACTGTCTGTGATTTATTTAGAATTCAAGGCACACTTAACCAGTATGGCTACCACAGCATTCTGCAGTGATATGCCATCCCATCTGGTTTGGGCTTAGTGGGACTATCATTTGTTTTTTAACAGGACACCTCCAGGATGTATAAGGGCTATTTTACCAAGAAGGAGAGTGATGGAGTGCTGCATCAGATGACCTGGCCTCCACAATCCCCCAACCTCAACCCAATTGGGATGGTTTGGGATGAGTCGGACCGCAGAGTGAAGGAAAAGCAGCCAACAAGTGCTCAGCATATGTGGGAACTCCTTCAAGACTGTTGGAAAAGCATTCCAGGTGAAGATGGTTGAGAGAATGCCAAGAGTGTGCAAAGCTGTCATCAAGGCAAAGGGTGGCTATTTGATGAATCTCAAATATTAAATATATTTTGATTTGTTTAACACTTTTTTGTTTACTACATGATTCCATACTTGTTATTTCATAGTTTTGATGTCTTCACTATTATTCTACAATGTAGAAAATAGTTTAAATGAAGAAAAACCCTTGAATGAATAGGTTTGTCCAAACTTTTGACTGGTACTGTACATATGAGATGAGTTATGCAAGATATGTAAACATTATTAAAGTGACTAGTGTTCCATTTCTTAAAGTGTCCAGTGATTTCTAGTCTATGTCTATAGGCAGCAGCCTCTAATGTGCTAGTGATGGCTATTTAACAGTCTGATGGCCTTGAGATAGAAGCTGTTTTTCAGTCTCTCGGTCCCAGCTTTGATGCACCTGTACTGACCTCACCTTCTCGATGATAGCGTGGTGAACAGGCAGTGGCTCGGGTGGTTGATGTCCTTGATGATTTTTTTGGCCTTCCTGTGGCATCGGGTGCTGTAGGTGTCCTGGAGGGCGGGTAGTTTGCCCCCGGTAATGCGTTGGGCAGACCGCACCACACTCTGGAGAACCCTGCGTTTGCAGGTGGTGCAGTTGCCTTACCAGGCAGTGATACAGCCCGACAGGATGCTCTCAATTGTGCATCTGTAAATGTTTGTGAGGGTTTTAGGTTCCAAGACACATTTCTTCAGCTTCCTGAGGCTCTGTTGCGCCTTCTTCACCACACTGTGTGTGTGGATGGACCATTTCAGTTTGTCAGTGATGTGTACGCCAAGGAACTTGAAGCTTTCCACCTTCTCCACTGCGGTCCCGTCGATGTGGATAGGGGGTGCACCCTCTGCTGTTTCCTGAAGTCC